CGCGCGAGGCACGCCGGGACCTGCGGTCTCCCAGGCGCCTCAGAGCCCCGCTATGCCTACGGCTCCCATCCTGCTTAGCGCTAGGCCTGCCGGGAGCGGGGCTGCACCGCCTACAGCTCCCGGCGTGCAGCGCGGCGCGGGCCCGGCCGCCAGAACGGCGCCGCTCACCCCACAAGTCCGCAGCCAATCACAGGCCTCGTACCCCTCCTCCAGGGCTCACTCTCTCTTGCGTCATTCCTTCCTGCTCCGGCGCGCGGGGCGGGGCCAGGAGCGGGGGGAGGGGAAGGTGGAAAAGCTGCCACTTCCCGGAAGAGGCGAGAGGAGTTGTCAGTCCCGCCCCGCCCCCACTTTAGGCTGAGCATGCGCACTGCGTCCCGACTCCTGCGGCGGCACGGCGCATTGCCGCGGGCGCCAGGGGTTGTGTTGCTGTGTGCGGGAGTGGTCGTAATTTCGCCCTTCGTATGACGCACAGTTCTGGAGGCGGTTAATTCACGCAGTGTATACAAAACGCGAGCGCCCATTTATTTGAATGTGCTTGGCTTCAGCTTCCAGGCATAAATTCGTAGTATATTTTTCTCTGCTAAACTAGAGACCCCTTTACTATGTTCTGTTTTTTTCTGTCTGTGACAGTAATTATACACTGTAATCAAGTCACTTAATCTTCTTTTGATAAACTATATTGCTCTGTTTCATTCTGTCATTACAAAGCAAGTTTCCAAGCTTTTTGGCTGTGCCCGCCCACCCAAGCTTTTGTGTTGCTGAACTGAGGCAACTGAATTTTTGAGGGGTGCGTGACCCTGCTTAGTGTCACAACCGTGATTTTAGGAACTGCTGATATAAGGTGTTTTTCCCAGGCCTCTAATAATATGGGAGGCTATTTTCTGTAGCTGCTCCAATTTGTCATCCTTTAAAAAATATGGACCCCGGAACTGCATGCAGCATATCTCCTCAACGCTGTATACAGGGGGGAAACCATCCCTGTATTCCTACTCACTGCCCCGATGAGGCTGAAATTTGTTCCTTATTCCCAGTTCCTTAATCCCAGTTCCCGGTTCCTTCTTCATAGCTAATCTAGACCCAATAAAAACTTGTTTTCAATGAATTCCACATCCTAAAGAGACAGAATTTCATTAGCTATGCGTATGTAGTAATATGTAAAATAATAGCTCATATCAAATACAAAGCCCTAAACGAAGGTCAGATTAGGATGGGATTATGGGGCAAAATACTTCTTGGGCCACCCCAAATTTCATGGCAATGCCACTGGGGGACTGTCCCAAAGAACCCTGACCATAGTGTGACCCAGCCCAAAGCACGGTTTGGCTGTGCCAGGCTGCCAGCTAACAGCCCCCATGCCCACTATGGCTTGAATAAGGAACTGGCTTTCAGGCTGGGATTATGGCTAGAAATTCTGTTTGGGCCACCCCAGCCCACATCCCTGTGCCACCGGGGGACACTTCTGGACATCTCTGACCAAAGATTTGCGTGGCCCGAAACGGTTTGGCCGTGCCAGGCTGCCAACAGTTAACACCCAAACCATTGTGCTAAATATATGGAACTGAATAAGGAACTGGATTACGGGCTGGGATTATACCCAGCAATGCTTCTTGGGCCACCCCAGACCACACCTCTGTGGCACTGAGGAACTCTCCTGGACATCTCTGAATAGAGACCTGCTGGGCCCAAAGTGCGGTTTGGCCCAAGAAGGATTTCTCGGTATAATCCCAGCCCAAATTCCAGTTTCACTGGACGCAGGTGCTGGTGAACAAAGTCAGGGAGGCCAAAGTGCAGAGGCGAGGGGATGTGGAAGAGGGGGATCCACTTTCCCTTGTCAGCACTCCCAGCACCAGTGCCAGCACCAGCCAGTCTCCTCCACGCCAGCCACTGCCAATGTGGGCCATGGGCATGGCTTTAATTCTGGGATCCAAATGCACCAGACCCCAGCCTCAGGCAGGTAGCTCTGTGGCTTCGGTGGCTACCTATCTTGCTGAGGATGTGGAGTCACTGGACTGCAACCCCTTGGCCTACTGGGCAAGCTACAGCCAGATGTGGCAGGATCTGGCCACAGTTGCCCGGCAACACCTGTCCTGTCTACCGACCAGCGTGCCAAGCGAGAGGGTGTTCAGCACTGCTGGGGATGAAGTGCAGTTCATAGGCCCAGCTCTGAAAAGTGGTTTGCATTGTAATTTGTTCCCTCGCAGGATCAGGCCTGAAAGACTGGAGGCAGAATATTTTTTTGGTGAGGAATGTGCCCCCACAGGGTTTTGTTGTCTGTGATCGATTCTGGTGTGCAGTTTGTGCAGGTACTGGAGATAGCTGTCAGGTTTTGTGTTTTGAGCTGTAGGAAGTTGGCTTCAGTTCTGGTGATGAGGTTAGGTGCTTGTTTGAATGTACAAACCACTTTTCAGAGCTGGGCTCGTGAACTGCACTTCATCAGCCTCCTAGGTAGTAGGTGAAGAAACTCATGGACTCAATATAGACAGTGGAGTTCTGACACACTGCGACCTACCAGACGTCTGACTCCCCAGGCACCTCTGCACTTTTACCTGTGCTGCTACATCCCCCTTTGCCCCCTACCCCCA